GTATTGCTTTAATAAAATGCTGACTGGCCTGTAGCCAGGCAGGAATTACAGGAAGGTCGTTCAGGCAGGAAGTAGAGGCAGGGTGACGAGAACAGGAGAATTCTGGGAAGAGGATAGGTCAGTCTGCAGTCAGAACCCAGAAGCAGAGGTAGCAAGATAAAAATGCTTTGCTGATAAAAGGTACCAAGCCAAGACAAGAATTACGGGTTAATGTAGGATGTAAGAGTTAATAAGAAGCATAAGCTAATAGGCCAACCAGTTTATGATTAATGTAGACCTCTGTATATTTATTTCTTTGGGAGAGAAGGGCTGTTGGATGGGGGTGGGACAGACACCTCTGTCAACAAAAAATGTCAGCTGAAATACATAAAACAAATATTTGGTAATTAAGAGAAATGTTATGTCAAGATGCCCAAGAGTTTGGTAAAAAGTGAAGGAAGACTTAAAAACTACTTCCCTTTGTCCTGAACAGTTTTGGAGATTCTATCAGAGGGGTATAAAGGCATAAAACTGTGGTTTCTGTAATTACTGGAAACTGGTGAGAAAGGTCACAGCCAAAGGCTTAATTCACAGTAGGCCAAGACCCGCAGGTCCCACTCTGAGACTGAGAAGGAATGAAAGAGCATTGCAAACATGTGAGTCTTATTCATCTGGGCTGGGCGGAGCCTGTGACATTCATCAGGTTGGTCCTTACTGAGGCCCATGACAGGAGTAAAGAATACTCTCTCTGTAAAAATATATTTGGTTTTTGACAAACTGTTTCTAGAAATAGTTATTAAAACAGGTCATAAATAATAACATAAATAGTACAGGAGAGAAAATAAAAGACTTAGAAAGGAAAAACACATACATAGGAGACCAGGGAAATAATAATACAGGAAGAAACAACAGAACCTCACACATGGAAATAAGCAGAACCAGCACAGATCACAAAATAACTATTACTGTAATGTTCAAAGAAAGAAAGTGAAATTTCTGTAGTGTATTAGAAGCTCCAAAACCCAAACAAACAAAAGTCATAGCAGGAGATATAAAAGAGCTACAAGCAGGAAGTACAAAAATTAAAAATACAGTCAAATATTTAGCAACATACTAGACATAGCTGAAAAGAATTAGTAAACAAAATTGATGAAAATACTGTATTAGTAATTTTACAAATATAAAAAAGTACAGTAGCCCCATCTATAAAAATGTATGACAAGTACTGTAAGTTTAACAAACAGCAATAAACAGATCGCAGGAATTATTTAAAAGAAACTGCAGACTACATGGGATTTCATTCTTTAAAAAAGAATTGGCAAGCTGGGCAGTGGTGGGACATGCCTTTAATCTCAGCACTCGGGAGTCAGAGGCAGGTGTATTTCTGTGAGTTCGAGGCCAGCCTGGAAGAGCTAGTCTTAGACAGGCACCAAAGCTGCAGAGAAATCCCAAAATCCCCCCCCCCCCCAAAAAGAAAAAAAATTGGCTTTTGGTTGGTTCACCAACATCCTCTGCCTTAACAAACTGTTTACTGCCTAACTGCTAGCTATGGCATCCTCACTACCAGTTAGGAAGGCATGTCAATATGAAAAATAGGATGGCATTAAAAAAGACCTACAGAGTAGATTAAGCTTGTCCTAGTAGGTGACCAAGAATATCATAAACTATAACAAAAACACATTCTTGCAACCTAATTTCCTTTAGGGACAAAAAAAAAAAAAATCAGTAAATTCCGAGAAAGCAGAAAAACCACAGCATTTCACTATAACTTACATCAGAAATTATAAGATTAAGGTCAGCCAAACAAACAAAACTCATTCACAGTAACACAACATCATCCACTTGCAAATCTTAAAATACATATCTCCTGAGGGATGGCCATACTGCTTGGTAGTAAGACTCCTTGGTTACCAAGAAAAGAAGACCCTGGTTTTAGTCCTTAGTACAATGTATAAAAGGAGAACTCAAACTTAACAAAAGAAAACTACTATTCAAAAAACAATTATGTGGGGCTGATCTATTGGGAGCTCACCAGGTAGGCCAGCTGGACTGTGACTGAAAAAGCATGGGATAAAACCGGACTCTCTGAATATGGCGACCAATGAGGGCTGATGAGAAGCCAAGGACAATGGCACAGGGTTTTGATCCTACTTCATGTTCTGGCTTTGTGGGAGCCTAGCCAGTTTGGATGTTCACCTTCCTAGACCTGGATGGAGGGGGGAGGACCTTGGACTTTCCACAGGGCAGGGAACCCTGACTGCTCTTTGGACTAGAGAGGGAGGGGGAGAGGGATGGAGGAGGGGGAGAGGGGCAGGAAGAGGGGGAGGGAAATGGGAGGCTGGGAGGAGGTGGAAATGTTTTTTTTCAATAAAAAATAAAAAAATAATTTCAGGTAATTTTGAATGTAAGTGTAATCTTAACTAGATAGTATATGCTATTAGTAGAAGAATTATTGTATTAAGAGCAATTTTGTTTGTGCAGTAACAAATAAAGTTATTGGCAAAAATAAAAAAAAAAATCATGCCCTAAATTAAAGTATTAAATATATGAAATGAAGGCCAAGTTGTACTCCAAAAGTAATTCCTACTAAATACAAGTATTAGAAACAAAGACAAAAAAGAAAAAGACCCAAATATTAAAGAAGATAGATGAGACAATAAAAATTTAAAAAGTGTGAAACTAATGACATAATAAAAAAGAACCAAAGGCAGACCATTCCGAAAGACAAAAAGCATTAACTACAATGCACTCAAAATGTTATGTTTTCTTCTTTATACCCTCATACAATTTTACTACACAAAATACTCTGCAATTTCCCTGCTCTACTCACGGTAGATAACAGTACTATAATGATATCACTCTGGTGAGGGAGGTCCTTTTCTCTGGGTTATTTTTATTGGTTAATGAATAAAGAAACTGGTGTGGCCTGATAGGGTAGAACAGAGCTGCTTGGGGAAAACTAAATGGAATGCTGGGAGAAAGGAGGCAGAGTCAGAGAGACTCCATGTAGCTGCCAGAGTCAAACATGCCTAAACTTTGCCAGTAAGCCACTGTCACGTGGTGATACGGAGATTAATAGAAATGGGTTAAATTAATATGTAAGAGATTAGCCAATAAGAAGCTAGAGCTAATGGGCCAAGCAGTGATTTAATTAATACAGTTTCTGTGTGATTATTGTGGGGCTGAGCAGCTGGGAACAAACAAGCACCCTCCCTGCACATCACTCCTCGTCAGTTATCTAGCCTGATACAGCTGATTATACAATTACATAGTGCACTAAAGGAGGGTATCATTTAACTGTTGACTAAGACTTAGAGAAGCATGCTCCTCCTGTCCTCATATATGTATTGTCCAACTGCTAGCTAGGACATCATAACTACCAGGCAGAAAGGCATGTCAATATAAAAAGTAGATACACTGCTACAACACACTAACATGCGTTCATCTGGCATAGAATATCTAAATACTGTATTTTAAACATCTATCAAAGTTCCCTCTTTATGGATGAGCCTGCGAACCTTTCTCTATACATCCTGGCCAACATGGCACATAAGTGACCTGTAGGATTCAGAAGTAATAGAGAGGGACAACAGTCCAATTTAGTCACGAAAACAGTGTCTGAGTTTGAAGATAAAGAAATATAAAGTCTTTGCAAAATTGAAAATTGTGTTTTGTGGCTTAGTATCTCACAATATCATAAGAAAAATAACTCTATTTCATAGGACATAGTAGGGAATAAACATGAGAAAATCTATAATATCTTTCCAAGAGTAGCTACCATAGTCTAAGTGATAAGAATAATGACACTTATTTTTAAATTTTCATAACCTTTAATGAATAGATTCAACATTTAAAGCCCACAGGTTGCCATTTAATAATTGGTTTCCATTTCCCACTTGGTTTATAGCTTTATTCATTAAAAGGACATATTTGCATTATGAATATAAACCTTACAGTGTATTTTTTGTTGCCTTTTATTCCAGGTGTATCCCTAAGTTTTATTTTACTTTTTTAAAACTAAAAATGGCTGGACAGTGTATCATTAATTCTCTTTAACAATTTTTAACACATTTTTCAATTATATATTCATTTATATTTATTTTGAGACAAAGATTAATGTTTTATTATACTTAATATTCCAGGACATTCTGAAAATAGATAATATAATCTAATCTATGTGTTGTGAATTGCAATGACAGTAAAATCTACTCATGAAGAAATGCTTCAGTAAGTTATGAACATACAGTAAATTTTAAAAACAAGCAAAACTTTTTATTGTGGTACTCTCCAAAATGGCATAGTTTAGTTTTTTAAACCATAATTTTGTTAAAAATGGAATGTCTAAAATATATATTATATATACATATATACTTTATATATATTTATACACACACATACACACATATAAATATATATGAAAGATCTAAAAATAAAACATTTAGAATGATAACTACAGACATTACAATTCTGGACATGTAAATCTTGCAGGATAGTATGTCTCAATGAGAGATGACGAAGAATCTGCCCTGTAAGCATTGCTCCCATACACATAAACAAACTACATAGCAAACGGTAACAAACTTGGGTTCAAATTTGTTCAAGGAGTTCAAACTATAAAAGGAAAGGAAAAACACAAGCTATTGCAAAGGACAAAATCCCTCAGCATCTATGCCCGGGATTCCTTCTAGGACATACCACAGGTCTCAAATGTACAGATCCCCAATCTGTGGCTGCTCAAGATTCTTACACAGTACTCTGATGCCAGCATGTGCATGATCCTCCCATTGTTTCAGATCGTGTATAGATCACCTATAACTAATACAGTCTAAATGTGACATGATTGCTATACCAGACTGCTGAAGTAATATTGATGAGACAGTCTGGACATGTTCAGTAGGGAGGATACTTTTTTGAGTATTTCTATATGAACTGGGTGAATCCATATTTGTGAAACCTACAGATAAGGAGGGGAAACTGAATTTTCCATAGATCATATTGTTTTGTAAAGTAATCCAACTTACATCATTAGACTTGCATTTTTCCTTGTGAGAATAGATAGTCCACTCCAAAAGCATATTTACTGGTTTTGTCAAAAGTCCTGAAGTTTCATTCCCTGACCAAAAGATTTCAAGAAGAATTCCTTTTTCTGTTTCCTTTAGACTTTGAGAACTTGACCAGTCATACAACCTAATAAAAACAAAAACATAAAGTAAATTATTATGTCAATGTAATCACAGCAGTTATTAGACCTATTTTGATAGAACAAGAATGTCACTAGTTTTTGAGAAAGGTGGTAATATTTAAAGATTACAACAGAGCTATAATAAAGGATAAAATATTAAAAATAGTCTCATGGGCTGAGTATGTTATAGTCCCAGTGCTGGGAAAGTCGAGTCAAGCAGGTCTTTGGGCTCACTGGTCACTATTCTATGAGCTACAGGGCAATGAAAGACACTGTCTCGAAAAACACTGTGGATGGATATTACTGAGGGCTGCTTCTCAGGTTGAGCCTTTCTTTGGTCTCTCACATAAATACACACATGTGTGAATTGATACATATATATGAATGTGCCTATAACAGAAAAAAATGGTCTCAGTTCAATAAAAACCAGTGATGTATACAGGGCATTTATGAATATATATCACCTATAACTTACATATATATATTCCTGAAACATATTCTTCTAAATGAAAAGTAAGAAAAACATGAACTGAAAGAGAAAGAAAAAAAATATAAGCAAATTGTCACTGCCTTGGGATGTATTTAAAAACGGAAACAAAACCTATACAGAAACATAAAGTAGGAGACTTCTTAAAGAGAGATACATATATAATTATAAACAACAGAACTATGGCACAGTATTTCTTGTTATTAGCACTTACTTTTGACTCAAATGCCGTACTTCACTTTCAAGTAAATGAAAGAAAAACTTGAGCAATGTAAGATGGACCACCTTAGAATCAATATTTTCTGATATTTGATGACAGAAAGCTTCATTGAAAAGGCAAGACCTAAATAATAAGAACCCAACAATGTATTTCATGAAAAGAAAGCTACTGAATAAATTTTGGACAAAATATTTATTTTTAAAGACTACTTTACAATTTTAACAAAATCTTTAACAGTTTTAAAGCAAGCTCAGTAAAATTTTCTTAATATTTTCTTCCTTTAAATTTCAATCATGTCAAATATAAAAGATTTAGTTCTTTTTTCTTGTTGTTGAGTTGTTTTATTGTCTGTTTTTCAAGACAGGATTTCTCTGTTTCACCCTGGCTGTCCTGGAACTCCTTCTGTAGACCAGGTTGGCCTTGAACTCACAGAGATCTACCCACTCTTGAGTGCTGAAAATGAAGGTGTATGCCATCATTGCTCAGCTAAGATTTAGTTCTTAACACAAATCTAGTTTCTCTGTTTCAATATAGTATCTAGCAACTCTCAATACTCTTGTTTACTCACTTCATTTCACTGGTTAGAACCAAGACACAGGAATTTCATCAAGTCCTTTTGATCCACCATGATATCAGTTTATAATACTAAGTATAGTAATACTTCTTACCCATGATTATTTTCATTTCCACTACATTAATAAACAAGAGTAAATAGCTTCATAGTTAAGGGTTTTCAAAATTAAATATTTTATTTTTACCTTGTCATAATCATGATTAATAGAACTTTAAATGGCAATTGCTGTGTGTTACTACACACTTGAATTGGCTTGTGCATATGAGTTTGTTAGCACAGTTCTATGTGCACAAACACACACATATACACATACACACATGATTGTTAAATCAACAAGTTTGTAAATTTATTTATACGTGGAGGTTTCTGCCTGCATGTATGCCTATACACTGTGTGTATCTGGTACCAGCAGAGGTCAGAACGTAAGAGTATTGGATCCCCTAAAATTTTAAGTATAGAGGGTTGTGAGCCACCATTTGTGTATTGGGAATAGAACCTGGGTTCTCAGCAAGAGCAAAAAGTGTCTAAATCCCTGAGCCATTTCTCCAGCCCTGCTGTGTATTTTTACAGAGAGAGCAAGACTACTAATAAATTTTAAGACTTGCAGAGACTGAAGTTAAGCAACGGTATTCATTATTTAACTCCATTTTTTTGTATTGATAATATCAACAATGTATCTGTTGCTTTTCATTTCTGTCTCCAGTTTCCTTGTCTTTGTGTGTTTGCTTATATGCATACATGTTTGTGTGCATGTGGAGACCAGAGGTTGATAACAGGTATGTCCCTCAATGATTTGTCACCTTATATTTTAAATAATAGCTCCCCCCCCCCCCCAAGACAGGGTTCCTCTATGCAGCTCTGGCTGTCCTGGAACTCTCTTTGTAGGCCAGGCTACAAGACTGCCAAGAACTGGGATTAAAGGCATGAGCCACCACATCCGGCAAAATAGGAGCTATTAATGAACCCAGAACTCACGATGGCAGCACGTCTCAGGGACAGACAGATCTCTGCCCAATGCTAGGATTACAAGCATACTGTCGCCATACCCGCTTTTTAAAACAAACGTTCAGGGAACTAAACACAGGTTCTCATGCTCGTGTGACGAGCACTTTGCTGACTCAAGTGTTTATAACATACTTCATCCCAATTATTCTGCAACAAAGCCTGGTTATGTGTTCAAGAAACTTATAAAGATCTAAACTTTGCCTAGCTACCCAAGTGTCTTTTTGCTCTTATATGAAGGACACTTGTGGGTACATAAGTGAAAAAATTTTTCCAACAAAGGAGGACTACCAAAGTTATAGTAGAAATCATAAAATCATAATTAGTTTAGCTAGTGGAAAAAAGACAGGAAGTTTTGGAAACACCCAGAAAACAAAAAAAAGACCTAGGGAGATGACATATGTAATGACGGCTCTGGAAAACAGTATGTGGTGGTAAAAATTCAAATATCTAATTATAATAACATAAACCCATAAACTAGATATTGCATATCATGATTAATATTTCTGATTTTTATGACTAAAATTTGATGCTTATATTCAATAATTTTTATTTCAAAAAATACAAATTCATTATTTTGGAAAAAAAATTTTAAATGTGGCATTATCCTACTTTGTATACTTAGTTTTTTTAAGAAAATGACAAACATAATCAATATAAAGTTTGTCCTTTTAATAAGTTTGGCAACAAAATACAAAATATAAGCACTCATATTTTTTCTAAAAACACAAATATGCTTTATTAAAATCAGCTCCTAAAAAACAGTAAACAACTATTAGACAAATGTATGCATCCTCATATTCTTATAAGGTTTTAAGAATAACTTACCTGATAAGCACTTCTACCAGAGACCAGGCTCCTTTCCTACAGGTTGGACACTGAAATAACTCTAAGTAGTATCTTAACATGGCTGGTGATTTCCAAGGAGGATGCAGATGAAGAAGAGCTGATAATATATGAAAGTATCGACCAGAAAATGTATCTATGTTATCCTATTATTTAAAAATAAACAAAATAAAATACTGTAGCTAAAATAGTTCCGCCAGTTAATTTAGTTTAAATCTAGAACAGTAATTCTAGCCGAATCTTGTGATTAGACTACTACAGCAGTTTTAAATACCAGGGAAGACTGTTGTACACATTCACACATCAGAAACATTAAGTATTCGGGGTGGCAGATATGGGATTTTCATATAGGATGATAGTGAGATTAAGAATCTCAAGGAACATTCTAAAGAATGCCAAGGTGAAAACTCTTCATATACCAGCCTTTCACGTATACAACATTACCACAGCATAGTTTATCCCTGCCATGGCATTAAAATCAGCACCCTGCAGAACATAAAAAAAGACCATTTCTCCACAGATACAATTAACTGTTTCTACTAATTACATTCACTTAAGCTGTATACCATAAAGAAAATGACTATTAATTACTAAAAGCACTGTAGCAATCTGATACCATAATCTGACATTTCTGTCACTTTACAGTAACAGTAAAAAGGTAACATTTTTTCTTTTTTTTAATGAACAATACTTTTTATACAGTATATTCTGACCATTTTTCAATAGGCTAAGTCATTCATAGTATGTAAATATTGTTAAAAATAGAAAAAGTGGTAACAATGGTACTGCACTTTCTAGTAAAATGAGATTTAAAGAAAAATTACAATTAATATTCACATCTTAGCATTCTTTAAAAAATGATTCTTAGTGTCCTTACCTGCAGAACATTCTCTAGAAGGGCATGGAGAAGGCACACAGGGGGCACATACTGGGCTTGCAAGGAGGAGAGCTCTTCGATGGCTTCTTTAAAGAACTGTCCCTCTATGAGGCTTTCAATTAAGTTTAATATCCCCCTGGGGAGCTCTGCATTTTTACCCTAAGGAAAAAAAATTTTCTGTCTGAAGGCAGAAAAGTTCACCTTTGAGATCAGCTCTTGAAATAGTAAAGAGCTTCCGTTTCCTCATCTGTAAATAGGTGGTTCCCATCCTTACTACAACACAGGCTGCACAGCTTTTGAATTCTTTCAAAAGTAGAAGGCTCTCAAAGAAACCCAAACAACAACAACAAAATCTAGGTTTGCAAAAGTATCATTTGCTGTTTCTTATTTTTCATTGCCTGAAGTGGTAACTGTTCCTCTTAAAGAAAGTCTTAGAGAGGAAGTGTTTGCTTTACAAATCTGAAAATGTCAATTGTTAACTGGACCCTTTCTGAAGAGCACATGGAAGAAAATAATCCATTTAAAAAGATGAATGGTTGATAAATAACAGAAAATATTTTGGAAGTATTGGATGAAGAATTTAACACCAAAGTAGTAATTATTAAAGTCAAGATATATAAAAAAAAGTAAATAGTTCACCTACAATGAGCACTAGGTACATTTTTTTTCTCAGCACTATTGACAGCTGTGTTGAAAAATTTTCCCAAAAGAATAATCCTTCCCCACCACATTTCTGATTACATTACCTTAAATCAAAATAACTAAAATTTATACTTCTTTTTTTTACTCAAATAACCATCTAACTCCAAGCCCCTTACCTCTACATTGTATACAGGCTGTTTATCGGTTCTAATGCAGTTGTATCGGACGGCCTACAAAATGACAACCATATAATTAGATTTAACAATTTAAATTGAAAAATATGTTTCAGTCTACAAAGCACAAAACCTTGGCTAAGCATTGAAAACAGATTCAGGAACACATTAATAACTATAATTATTCTACTCAATAATACTGTATATTTATTCTAACTCAAATTAGTAACTATCATCATTTTAGGGTCATAGTATTCTCATGAATAGACTAGTTCTATTGTCTTCTCAATTAAAATGACTTCAGNTCCCCCCCCCCCCAAGACAGGGTTCCTCTATGCAGCTCTGGCTGTCCTGGAACTCTCTTTGTAGGCCAGGCTACAAGACTGCCAAGAACTGGGATTAAAGGCATGAGCCACCACATCCGGCAAAATAGGAGCTATTAATGAACCCAGAACTCACGATGGCAGCACGTCTCAGGGACAGACAGATCTCTGCCCAATGCTAGGATTACAAGCATACTGTCGCCATACCCGCTTTTTAAAACAAACGTTCAGGGAACTAAACACAGGTTCTCATGCTCGTGTGACGAGCACTTTGCTGACTCAAGTGTTTATAACATACTTCATCCCAATTATTCTGCAACAAAGCCTGGTTATGTGTTCAAGAAACTTATAAAGATCTAAACTTTGCCTAGCTACCCAAGTGTCTTTTTGCTCTTATATGAAGGACACTTGTGGGTACATAAGTGAAAAAATTTTTCCAACAAAGGAGGACTACCAAAGTTATAGTAGAAATCATAAAATCATAATTAGTTTAGCTAGTGGAAAAAAGACAGGAAGTTTTGGAAACACCCAGAAAACAAAAAAAAGACCTAGGGAGATGACATATGTAATGACGGCTCTGGAAAACAGTATGTGGTGGTAAAAATTCAAATATCTAATTATAATAACATAAACCCATAAACTAGATATTGCATATCATGATTAATATTTCTGATTTTTATGACTAAAATTTGATGCTTATATTCAATAATTTTTATTTCAAAAAATACAAATTCATTATTTTGGAAAAAAAATTTTAAATGTGGCATTATCCTACTTTGTATACTTAGTTTTTTTAAGAAAATGACAAACATAATCAATATAAAGTTTGTCCTTTTAATAAGTTTGGCAACAAAATACAAAATATAAGCACTCATATTTTTTCTAAAAACACAAATATGCTTTATTAAAATCAGCTCCTAAAAAACAGTAAACAACTATTAGACAAATGTATGCATCCTCATATTCTTATAAGGTTTTAAGAATAACTTACCTGATAAGCACTTCTACCAGAGACCAGGCTCCTTTCCTACAGGTTGGACACTGAAATAACTCTAAGTAGTATCTTAACATGGCTGGTGATTTCCAAGGAGGATGCAGATGAAGAAGAGCTGATAATATATGAAAGTATCGACCAGAAAATGTATCTATGTTATCCTATTATTTAAAAATAAACAAAATAAAATACTGTAGCTAAAATAGTTCCGCCAGTTAATTTAGTTTAAATCTAGAACAGTAATTCTAGCCGAATCTTGTGATTAGACTACTACAGCAGTTTTAAATACCAGGGAAGACTGTTGTACACATTCACACATCAGAAACATTAAGTATTCGGGGTGGCAGATATGGGATTTTCATATAGGATGATAGTGAGATTAAGAATCTCAAGGAACATTCTAAAGAATGCCAAGGTGAAAACTCTTCATATACCAGCCTTTCACGTATACAACATTACCACAGCATAGTTTATCCCTGCCATGGCATTAAAATCAGCACCCTGCAGAACATAAAAAAAGACCATTTCTCCACAGATACAATTAACTGTTTCTACTAATTACATTCACTTAAGCTGTATACCATAAAGAAAATGACTATTAATTACTAAAAGCACTGTAGCAATCTGATACCATAATCTGACATTTCTGTCACTTTACAGTAACAGTAAAAAGGTAACATTTTTTCTTTTTTTTAATGAACAATACTTTTTATACAGTATATTCTGACCATTTTTCAATAGGCTAAGTCATTCATAGTATGTAAATATTGTTAAAAATAGAAAAAGTGGTAACAATGGTACTGCACTTTCTAGTAAAATGAGATTTAAAGAAAAATTACAATTAATATTCACATCTTAGCATTCTTTAAAAAATGATTCTTAGTGTCCTTACCTGCAGAACATTCTCTAGAAGGGCATGGAGAAGGCACACAGGGGGCACATACTGGGCTTGCAAGGAGGAGAGCTCTTCGATGGCTTCTTTAAAGAACTGTCCCTCTATGAGGCTTTCAATTAAGTTTAATATCCCCCTGGGGAGCTCTGCATTTTTACCCTAAGGAAAAAAAATTTTCTGTCTGAAGGCAGAAAAGTTCACCTTTGAGATCAGCTCTTGAAATAGTAAAGAGCTTCCGTTTCCTCATCTGTAAATAGGTGGTTCCCATCCTTACTACAACACAGGCTGCACAGCTTTTGAATTCTTTCAAAAGTAGAAGGCTCTCAAAGAAACCCAAACAACAACAACAAAATCTAGGTTTGCAAAAGTATCATTTGCTGTTTCTTATTTTTCATTGCCTGAAGTGGTAACTGTTCCTCTTAAAGAAAGTCTTAGAGAGGAAGTGTTTGCTTTACAAATCTGAAAATGTCAATTGTTAACTGGACCCTTTCTGAAGAGCACATGGAAGAAAATAATCCATTTAAAAAGATGAATGGTTGATAAATAACAGAAAATATTTTGGAAGTATTGGATGAAGAATTTAACACCAAAGTAGTAATTATTAAAGTCAAGATATATAAAAAAAAGTAAATAGTTCACCTACAATGAGCACTAGGTACATTTTTTTTCTCAGCACTATTGACAGCTGTGTTGAAAAATTTTCCCAAAAGAATAATCCTTCCCCACCACATTTCTGATTACATTACCTTAAATCAAAATAACTAAAATTTATACTTCTTTTTTTTACTCAAATAACCATCTAACTCCAAGCCCCTTACCTCTACATTGTATACAGGCTGTTTATCGGTTCTAATGCAGTTGTATCGGACGGCCTACAAAATGACAACCATATAATTAGATTTAACAATTTAAATTGAAAAATATGTTTCAGTCTACAAAGCACAAAACCTTGGCTAAGCATTGAAAACAGATTCAGGAACACATTAATAACTATAATTATTCTAGTCAATAATACTGTATATTTATTCTAACTCAAATTAGTAACTATCATCATTTTAGGGTCATAGTATTCTCATGAATAGACTAGTTCTGTTGTCTTCTCAATTAAAATGACTTCAGGCCATTTTTACTTTAAAGATCTGAAGTTGTCTATTCCTCTTAGTACTTTAATAATTAAAAATGTAAATGCAGAGGACATGTTATATAAAAGTCCAAAGGGGAGAAAAAAATGAATTTATGTTTTCTAAAAATAACACATAGAAACTTCTTGTGTTGTTTTAAACTACTGTACTTGAAAATTTTTAGAAAAGGTTATAGTATCTGCAACAAATATAAAAGATAACATCCTGATTCAAGAAAGTTCTTCAAAGGTATTCATTAAGCAAGCCAATGGAAAACAATAAAAGATGGCAAAGCAATACACAAATTGTTAGAGAAGCTAGAAATACATTGAATTTTACTAAAAAGTTATAACTTTAAATGCTAACTGACTAGAAATGTAAAGGTAGACCAAGAGGGTTCCTGCTTTAACAAGAAAAATGTAAATCACCTGTTCTCAAGCCCCTCCCTTTCTTAAGCTCATCAGAGACGTAAAGCTGTAATGCAACCAGCTAGCCTGCAGTGTCAGACTTCAGGGACCTACCAACACAGAGCATTCTCTAACTACTACCAAGTGTCTGGATTAAAACAAGCAGAATTCAAACATACTTCCCAGTCACTTATATCTTACGAAGGAAAGAATTTTAGTGTGAAAAGCATTACCTGAGCTCTATATATGTCTCTGTATATCTGCTTTTTTAAGGCATTTTTTACTTCTGTGAGATCCATATCTGCCTTGACATCCTTGATTTTTGATTCATTGGCATAATCATTATGAAGAGAATTCTTCATTTCTTTCTGCATACAAGTAAAGAACTTTAGATACTGCACTAAAGACAATACTCAACATACACACAAAATACAAGACTATAGAAATCCCACTTATATTTTGCTATTTCGTTATTTGCTTTTAAAGCCCACACAGTGATGTCAGGACACTGAGCTTGGCAGGCAAATGCTGGGCCACTGAGCTAAATCTTTAGTACCTTAGAAAATTTTCATTTGAACTTATCATAAAACCAAAGTCTAAACAAAAAATTAATTGATGTTCTTTATACTTCTTATATACATGCCTGGAGGTAACTTTAATACACAACTTAGGTATACCTAGTCTGTTTTGCTTGGCCCATAACATAGAGGCATGGATTTTTGACTTTACATCAGAAATTTTCATCATGTGTCACTTAGAAGCACTTGTTCTCAAGTATTTCAGGCTTTTGATTTTTGGATTTAAAATGTTCAATCTATCTACACATGCTCTGACTTGGATTATAAAATAAAGTTAAATTTTTAGAAAAAGGTTATCTTTTTTATTATAAAAGGTTTGTATTCCACCAGAGAAGAACAAAATTAGAAACAATATTAGCATTTCAAGAGATTATATGAATTACATACAGATGTAGTTTACAGTGGTGTTTTCCACTTTAAAAAGATTCAGCCACAAGGGTGCTCCAATCAAGAGCCAAAGAACACCTAAACAAAAACCCCAATATCAGACATGAGAAACCTTCTTCTGAGTTGTTGGCCAGGGCTGTGCAGGGGACTCCCACAACATACAGCCTACTCCTATTGCCCTTCCCAAAACATACAGCCTACTCCTATTGCCCTTCCCAAAACATACAGCCTACTCCTATTGCCCTTGTTACCCTCCAAGAGGTGGATGGTAAATCCCTATTGCTGAAGACACCATACACTTCAGAAATTCTATGCAAGCTTCAAAAGGATGGAAGCACTAAGAGCCCTATCCAGTCATGAAGCCCATGAACCACATCAATAAACACATGGCACAATAATCTTAAGGAGGCAGTAGTGGCATGCATACATGGCAGGAACCAACAGCTTTCTATCTGGAGTTAGGAACCACTCAACAATAGGAAATTTGTGCATGGTACATGAAATCTACTTAGGGCTAATGAAGTCAGGGCTATTAGAGGAAAATCAACACTTCTAATTTACTAAGGGAGCATAATCCCTAAAAGCAATCTATATTTGTTCTCATACTCACAGACAGAGGGTAGTCTTCCCCCCACATCAAGGAAAGTTCTCTTAGCAACAGACAGGAAACCATTACAGAAAACCATATTTAATCAATACGCAGAATTGTAGAACCCAACCCCCATGAATATACACTTACAGTACCCAAGGTTCCAGGAACTTGGAAGAGAGGCAGGGAAGATTTTAAGAGTAAGAGGGTCAGGGAGTTTATGTGACACTCTGTCTCTGAATAATATCAGAAGCTATACCCAATAAAATTTCAGTAATATGACCATCTAAACATGAGCTGAACAAGGAAGACACCAACAGACATGCCAAAGTGGATGGGGGAAAGCCCATAAAGCCTCAATCCTACAAAAACATTAGGCAACTGAGGAACGGCAGGAGTGGAAGAGGCATTTTTCCCGAGGCAAACACACACCTATTGGTTGTCTAGAGCCAACAGGTCAGCTCGAAAACCATATATGCAATAAGTAACATTATATGACTTAACAGGTTAGTTAGAATACACATACATACACACATGAAAATACATGTATATACATGATTATCAGTGAACAATTAGTAAAAAAAAAGGTCATGAACTTGGAGGAGAATGCATAAGGGTATAGAGGGAAAAAAAGAAAAATGTATTTATTTATATTACAATCTCAAATTTTTAAAAAAAGTTAAAAAAGAAATTGCCTCTCTTTCAGATATTTTCTTTTCCTTTTTAATTATGAAAAATGACTTAATTTGAGAACCACAATTAGCCCAATTTCCTTATATATTCATATAAAAAGTTTTACTATAGACTTATAATAACTATATTTTAATGTATATAATATAATAAATGTATATATAAATACATAAGTAAAATGTTATATGGATGGAAGTTTCTGTCACTCCCAGTCCCGCAGTCATTTAGTTCTAAATAAACACACGGAAGCTTGTATTAATTATAAACTGTATGGCCTACTGTTCAGGCTTATTAGTAAGTACCTCTTACAACTTGAATTAACCCATAAGAGTTTAGCAAAGTATACAGAATTAAAACAGCAAGCATCTCTAATAATCACATTGCCTGATTATAAAGAAAGAAAACGTCAAAACATACACCCATTACTCACCTTATCTCTGTAGCGCACGCGCTTCTTAACAGCACTTCTTATCGCGTCATGCTCATCGTCAGTTTTGCAGAAACCTTCTCTTTTGCTCATTTTCCTTAAAATGTAACTCCTTTGGATATTTTTAACTTTTCTCTTAGTTTCTTTCTGTATTTTGATCACAATTAAACAAAATAGAATATGTATTAAAATGTCATAAAATCCAAATAAGCTAAAAATGGGGGGAGTTTACATCATAAGTTTAATACAATTATCAATAAAGTTCTACGCACAGGAAAATCTCACCCACACACCTGTATACATTAGCAAAACAGCTGAGAATCATGAAGAACAGGTGACACACGTTGTCCTGATAACAATATCTTCATTCCTAGAAATACATTCTCAGCTACAGTAATTTTTACACATGTGTACCAAGTCACACAAGAGAATATTCACTGTTCATAGCAGAACTGTTTGATAATCTCAAAACAACCAATCAAACACAAACAAATAAAACCCAAATACTCATCAAGAACAACAACAACAATGGATGCAGTTTAAAAATGCAACACAGCTGAACCTAACATGTGGATGAGGAGAACGTCCATAGATAGTGTGACACACAAATGCTCATTAACACAACTGAACCAAACATGTGGATGAGGAGAACGTCCATAAACAGTGTGACACACAAATGCTCATTAACAAGCAAGACTTAAGAAAAAGGAAAAAAGTAAGTTCTAAAATAAGGGATACTTCCAAGTAAGATGGAAAAGATATAGTTAGGAAATGACAAGAAATGGCTTGAAAATTGGCTAGACTGATTCTTCCCCTGACTAATGAGTTCATAAAGTGGCATTTTCTTTCTTTAGAAACACTGCAAAATGTCTTATAACACTTCTGTACATGTACTTCACAAGACATTCATGACTTACATTGTACTTAGTAAATTTAACGAATACTTTTGTGAAAATTTACCTGATTCTCATGTGTATGTCTTCTGAATGCATTTCTCTTTTTAACAGATTTCATATCTTTTCTGCAGTCTCTTAATTTTTCTTTTTTGTGATGTTCACTCAGAACAAATCTACCATTAACACTTTCATCATGATTTTCCATTTTGTTCTGCACATTTATAAAATTAAATATACTCTGGATTAATACAGCTTCAATACAACTACTGGGAGTCACACAGAAAATGTCAGGAAAGCAGGTTTTATACAACACACATAAGATTAATTTTAAAATGTAAAATGAATTTAAATACATTCTAGTTATGCCAAAAGGGCTAGAAAAAATATGCTTTAGTTTGCCACATTTTATAAATAGTAAGTTACCAGTTATACGTAGTAAACATGCTTATTTAATTCAGAGTAACGAGTATTACAATCCCTTTTCTTTGAGAGATAAGAAATTTCTAAGCTAATTTTATATCCAACCTCCTAATTTTATTTTAATAACTTCCTTATCTTTTGAAATAATTATCTTTATATATTTAATAAAATGAAATCTATTTTGATAACCTCATCATTTTCCACTCCTTACTGTATGTAAAAGCTTCATACTTCATTTAGAATGCATATTTCAGATACATCAATTCAAAAGCCCTTACTAAACATGCACACATGTTAATAGAAAAAAAGTCTTAAAGGCACACAAATTCCATTGCATTCAGGAGTAGGAGCAAAAAGGATAAAATATTTTAATCTTTAGTTAAACTTGTCATGTTTTTTAAGAAATTACAAATTTTAAAAACTTCCAAACTGTTCCTAGCATGAACACAAATGTTTCAGTTTAAACTAATAGCTACTGAGAGAGTTATTTGATAAACTAACAAAGAGACATATTGCACATAATGTGAAATGAGCATTAGCTTTGCTATGGGACAACCAAGGAGGCTTTGCCGTCGCTGTTGTCTTTAACTTGTGCCTGTGAAACACTGAACAACAGCTGCAGTCTTCCTGCTTTGTTTTTTTTCCGGTATCTTGTTCTCTATGTTAATGCAAATTCATATGTTTCAAACTCTGTTCTATTTACTCAACGTACACGTTTGACTTTTGACTGCTTATGGCCAGAGTGTTCACAGATGAGAAAGTTCTATAAAGCTCGTGCTACATCAAGCATACAGAGATTTTAAGTAAGCATATGCTGAGAATATACTATATTTGAGGAACTCAATTCTTTAGGCACATATGAATTATTTCAAAGAGTCCTAAAACACAGATTTACACAAACTTCCCAATATATTCAATTTATGAGCTAAAAAGATAAGGGTGATACGCTAGACTTCAGATCCCAAGGTTTATAATACTTTTACCAAGAAGGGGTTCTCCTTTACAATTCTTTAGGAAAATTAGAGAATATTTAACTCACAAAATTTTACCTGTGTTCTATATATGCTCTCTCCATAAGCTTTCATTTCAAGAAATCCTGTGTCTTTCTTAAAATCATTCCCTTTTTCTTGATTGCTGTATTTGGTCCAACCAGAACTGGTTTGAGAATGTTCATCATTCTGAATTTCCTTCTGCACGTAAACAAAATTTTAGGTCATTAACTAAGTATAATAGTGGTATTATGCATACTTATTATATATATTTTATGGACTTCAGCTTAATATATAATTGCATATACTTTCTGATCAAGTCCACCTAAAAGAAGGGCTATAAAACACTGATTAAAACCAATACTTAGAGCAAACTTTCTATATTATAGTGATTTCTGTATATCACACAAATACACATACACACACACGAAAAAAGAGAATGCTTTGTTTAGAAACTTATTTAACGAGGTATCAAAGACAAAAAATATTTTATATAGCCATATAAATATTAAGATTACAACTCAGATATTAAAAATTGTCCACTTATGGTCAGACTGCCTTGTCTACTAACAATCCTACTTATGAGTCATCTAGTACAAAACCATTATATAAAGTCCTATGCAAATTAAAGCTACAATTCAGAACTGGTGAGAGCTCCGTCAGTAACCTGTTTGCCATGTAATCATGAAGGCCTGAATTCAATCCTTAGAATCCAGACAAATAAAATAGCCTTGTCTGCTGACACCAAACACTTGGAAGTCGAGATGGGTAGATCCTAGGGTTTGCACATTACATGGCAAGCTCTAGAAACCCTGTCTCAAGAAACAAAAATTAAACAAAGAAAAAACAGAAAATGCAAATAAAACAAAACATACAATAAACAACAACCAAAATATAAGGTGGGCTGTTCTCAAAGAATGATATCCAAGGCTAATAGCTAGCCTCCTCAAAAGGTGGCTTCTACACTTGAAAGTATGCCTGAGCACACCTACACATACCTACACACAGGTAAAGTCTAGACCTAAAAATTATCCAGTTGTGGATAGACTGTTTACTTTTTCAGCCTTTCACTGATAAGATTTCTTACCAGCAAAATAATTCAGCACCCATCTACGGAAGAGCAACAAAGACGATCACTTTTAGCTTCTGCTATTGCAAACAAAGTATCTTAAAAAAAATCTGAATTGTGCTCAAAAACCATTGTCTACATCTTTAAAAATAGAACATGAGCAAGGAAGTCAGGACCGCGAGGGGTGCACCCACCCATTGAGACGGTGGGGCTGATCTAACGGGAACTCACCAAGGCCAGCTGGACTGTGACTGAAAAAGCATGGGATAAAACCTGACTCTCTGAACATGGCTGACAATGAGGGCTGCTGAGAAGCCAAGGACAATGGTACTGGCTTTGTGGGAGCCTAGCCTGTTTTGATGCTCACCTTCCTAGACCTGGAAGGAGAGGGGAGGACCTTGGACTTCCCACAGGGCAGGGAACCCTGACTGCTCTTTGGACTGGAGAGGGAGGGGGAGATAAGTGGGGGGTGTAGAGTGGGGGGAATCTAAACTGTCTGTCAAACTGCTTCCTGTACTCTGCAGGCAAGAGTCCCCCCCTTCAGCAGGCTGCAATTTTGTAGCCACAGAATAACTTTGAAAGACTGAATTTCTTCATCAGCTCAGAGAGGTTAAGGTAAAAATTTGGAATAAGAACTTCTCTTCCTCCCTTTGAAAGAATCATCATAAGTCTTTAAACAATTGCTTTTGAAAGAGTTTGCAGCAAGAAAAATTGTTTTTTAACCTCACATGGTTGAAAGAAGATAAATCTCTATGCCTGGACAATTAAATGGTTAAAATCAGGTATAATTCCACAAAGATTTCAGGTAAACAGAATACAAAAAAACATCTATTATCACTAGCAAAAAGACCAGAAGCATAATGTTTACTTTCTACTCTTTCCAGGAACTACACAGGAGATCTACACATTAGGGTGCATTATACAAGTACTCTAAGTTATGGGATGTCAGGTGATTTATTTAATCCACTGTACCTTAATTTAATCAACGTGAGGTGGAATGATATAATACCAACCGTCACATAGAGATAGGTTTAAATGAGAAAGAGAGTGTAAGTGATTAGAATAGTGTCCACAGTGATCACTGTCGGCAAAGAGCAGCAGTTCTAAGAATTCTCACAACCACAGTAAGACTAGGAATTAGCTTTCATACGCCAAGTGGCATACTACCGCCTGTAGTACGCCATAGAACAAATGACTTCTTATGTCTCAGAACAGGTAAAGTAAACCTAGGTAAAACTAGTGGATTTAACTTAGAAATTCTTTTTGTACCCTGTTATTCTTATTTCTGTAAGTTTCCTTCAATGAAGAAAATATCTGCATGTATATGATGTGTGTAAGCACGCATGCCTGTGTATGCACATGTGTGATGGCTAGAGGACAAGTTCAGGTGTCATCGTCACCTTCCACTTTGTTTGAGACAGGATTTCTTATTGTCTGCTCCTGAGTATGTTAGGCTAGCTGGCCTATTAGCTTTCAGGGATAGCCTTGTCTTCGTTGCCCATTTCGCCACAGGAGTCTGGGATCACAGATGTGTACTACCATGTTGGGCTTTACGGGTCCTAGGGATCTGAACTCAGCTCCGCATACTTTGTCCATGGAGTCGTCTCCCCAGATCTCTTAGTTTCCTTGACAGTGCAAAGAAGTTTAAGTATCCCAAAGTAACTTCTCCTTTCTATAACATCTTATATAGATCAACAATTAATACATATTAGTAATTTTGCCCCTTTGTGTTCCCTTATTTTGCATATTTTTAGTAACCTGTATTCTACTAGAAAATGAATTTTCCCATTTGAGGTAAAGCACCTCAAAAATGGATATATGATGTTCCCCATTCACATCTCTAATGCACTGCACATCTCCCAGAAAAACCTACAAACCTTGACTAAATATTACCCCAATTCTGCCACTCAGCTTTCTAAAATGTCTAAGAACATTGAACACAAGAGTTTTTGTGATTGTCATTTTTAACTCAGTCAATGTACATAACAACTCTTCGTAGATGATACTTTAAAGGAAGTATTCTAGGTGCATTATGTGTTTCATGTCACAGATTTGAAAAAAAAAACAGACAAGTTAACTAATGAAGTTATTGTTCTCACCCTTCCTAGAAATATTCACGATGTGGTTTTCTCATTTAGACCAGTTATGTACTTCTGTCTGACACAGAACTTAACAAAACAATGCATTTTAAAACTCAGTGTATAAAATAGATGCTACCTGCTACTTTTGGTTGACATAATATTTGTTGTTCTTTAATACTTCAGCAGCTAAATCTAAGGCTGTATGATTATTAAACAATATACTCTAATTATTCTTCACAGAAAATATATAATTCAGATATACTTACAAATACAAGAATAACTTTTAGTCACTGGTGGTACTAGAAAACCAACTGAAAACGACTCAATACAATAAGTATTGACTCTCAGAATGGCAATGAGGACCAATGAAAGAACTAGTGTAAGATTGGTGAATACAGAAACTCAGGTATCAGCACAGGGGTCAGAATTTTGTTTTGTTTGTGACACAGTCCCGCTATATAGCCCAGATTAGCCAGAGATTCATGATTCTTTTGCTTCAGCCTTTAAGAGTTCTGGAATTTTAGGTGCCTACTTCTAGGGCTATGTTAAAGTGTCCAGTGTCCAGATTCTATCTCTATTCTTTTGTCTGTAAGACTGTCTTCTTATCAAAGCTAGATTGTGAAAGAAATATTTTAATTCTCATACTTCTCACTATTCCAATGATCTGATCACATGCTCATTCCCAGATCAATCATTGTCAAGGACAATGACATTTCCCACAGTTCAAATAGATACATACCATAAACTAAATTGAATTTTCCAAGACTACAGTGGTACTGCTCGCCAGGATAAGGTGAGTATAGAAATACATATTATGTGTACTCAGAAGATTCAAAAGGCTTCCATAATTTCTGCTACTCTAACAAATATGAAATAGGAATTCATGTTCAGGCTCTGTGCAAGGTGATCGGGACATAATTATGGAAAACACAAAGTAGAATATCATTAAGTAATTAAAAATTTATTCTGGCTGCACAAAGAAAAGACTTGATGTTAGTATGAGGTTAGAAAACAAAGAGAAGCAGTTTGATATGTGAAATAGAATTGGTATGACTTAGTAAAGACTGGATATAAGAAATCAGTAAGGAAAGTTTTGAAAAGTGATCCTAGGTCACTGACATTATCTACAAGTTAACAGGTATCATTTCATGCTGAAATGAGATATAATGGAAGGAGTATGACTGTTCATAGGTGAAGGTTATTTATGAACATCCTGAGCTTTTTATAACCCTATGAATGAATCATAAATTCTTCACTTATCTATCCGGAGTTTCACTGGGTGTTTGAACCCTGCTGAAAAAAAAACTTGAGACCTGGAATTTACATGACTAAGCAGAAGGAAGAAGGCGGAAGAGGGCAGGAAATTATTTCTAAATTTTAAAAATAATTCTTTCCTTTCCAAAAGAGACAGAAATCTCAAATTTGTATGTCATGCATTCTCTGCTAATTTACTATAGTGTATGGTAAAATATTTAAAATTATTTTTAGCATATACCACTAAAGTATTTATGATATAAGTAGAGACTAAAAAATAAAACAAGTTTAAACTTAAGCTTCTGTCAAATTTATACCCACATTCTTGACTATTTAAGAAATTGAGAATGCCTTAAAATATCCCATATTCATGTTTCTAATTATTGCACTTTCAAAATTCAGAATTCAGTTTTAATATAAACAATCAGCCCTCCATTTCTGCATGTTCTAAACCATAGACTTGACAAACTAGCTGGCTTAAACCTGACTGGTCCTGAATATGTGCATGCTTGTAGCAATCTAGAGACAATTTAATGTACACAGGAAGGTATACATGTGACATACAAACCCTATGTTATTTCACACAAAGGGCTTTAGAGCTGAGCATCTGTAACTCTGGTATTCAAGGATATTCGAGAACTGAAAGGAATGACTCTTGATACTTTATGAAAACAAATGCTTTAAAAGTCTAATACTTATTTTACTTACCTCTAAAAGAAAATCTCCTAAATACTGAATTGGATAAAAAGGAGCCTTAAAGTTCTTTTGTTCTCGCTCAGCACTGATTCTTGCATTACTGGCAATCACATGAGTGATCCCACTTGGAGAACTTTTTGGTAAGATGACATTTGCCTTTCCAGCCTCCAAAACTCTAAATAAAAGTGTAGATGATGGGGGAAAAAAGCATTAGAAGTCTAGTGAATTCATCTAGTCAATTACCAATTATTTCCTTAGGGTTATGAACAAAATTTCCTAAAAAGAGGTTATTCCCTTGGGTCACTGAGGGACCATGGAAAGTTAACAATTGTAATAATTTCTTAAAACCTAAATTGTCTAGAACAATTGTTTAAGAATTTTGCTATTCTTTCCATTTCTTCATATGGGACGTTTTTATGAACCATGAATATTGAAGCAATTGACATGCACAAGTCACAGCAATAAGCCAAAATAACAATGAATAAAATCTTAGGTAAACAGCTACCTTGGAAGCCAAAATACACCTCCAAGGAAATCACTGTGAACCATAATAAAAATAAATAAACAAACAAACAAACAAACAAAACCAGCTGCCGAGACCGTTAACATTTCTAGCTTTTGGCTAGGCTTTGTGGCACATAACGAGAATCACAGATCTGGAGAGGCAAGGTAGGAGGGTCTTAAATTTACAGCCTCCCCTANCCCCCCCCCCCCCCCCGTGAAATGAATAAATTCTAAGCCAATCTGAGATATAAGTGAGATCCTTTCTCACCAAACAAAACAAAAACAAACAAAAACCAAAACAGATTAAAAAAAAGAAGAAAAGCTTAAACTTATAATAAGAAGCAGTTTGACATTAAAGATTCTGAAGATATTACACAGAGACAAACTCATTCAAATATGAATTACTGTTTTGGTTTCTGTTTAAGGTCTAGAAAGCAAGAAAAGACAAATAATCTATAGAATCACAACTTTTCTTGAACCTATAACAAAAAACTTACTTTTGTAGAACAAAAGGAAAAAAAATAGCAGAAGTAAACATGACAATGAGCTAAGTTTTAAAGAAATTTAATGGCAAAGTACAGCTAATGTGACAGTGGGAATATGTCACAAGAAAAGTTTGTCCTCACCTATATGTGCTTAGTCACAGGTCTAGTCATGGGAAGAAAATTTAGGATAAAGGGGTAATTTAGGATACAAGAGAACTTCCTAGTTGTGGGCTAGTAATTACTGGCTGCCACTGAAATATTGGCAGAAATAAAATCACATTTTTTTCTTATACAAAGCAAATACATGTGGACTACTGGAGAATGATAAAGCTTAGCCCTTAGTCAGAGGGGAAAAATGCTGCCTTTTTATGAAGAGTAGAAGGAAAATCTATTTTCCTTTAAAGAATTGGTAGGAACTTTTACTGCTGTGCACCCTGGTTAAAAAAAAAAAAAAAAAGCCATTGTTTTCAAAACCAAAGAAAAGGGAGGAGGAAGCAAAGGCACTTGGTTCAGGATCTCATATCGACATAGAAACAGAGATGTAGTATTTCAGGGAGACCTGAAAGTGCTACTGACACAAGGCAGAATCTGACTGTCATGTGGGGAATGGAAGGAGGATGACGCTCAGCGCACAATGGCTTTGAGAAGGTTTCAACAACAGGAGTCAGCAGTTTGGACAATGATTAACTCTGAAGCCTATGCAGCACAATGAGGAATCTATCCACCCAGAACTGTGACTTACAGGGAGTAATAACAAAGAAGAAAAGCATGACAGGAGTCTTTCTATGATGCGATGTGTTTGAGTGATTTCTTAGAAGTAAGAACATTCAGAAAAGACCTTACTGCACCAAGATCTCAAAAATAAAAAAAAAAGGAAAAGAAAAATCCACAATGAAATTAGAGTCTGTTGCTGTAGCATGCTGAAGTTTATTGCATACAGCATTAACAAAACATACACCCAGCCCAAAAGTGAAGAGATTATCATACATGAGTGCACACACACACATGCAGGAAAGATACTATTCACCCAGGCTTCTGCACACAATGACTGGGATAAACAAAAATCAGGTCACTTTCAGCCTTGTAACTTCCTGCTTGTAGGTACCCCTTTGCCCATCCTATCTCCATTCCCTGGGGACTCTACCTCTTCTTGGTTTAAACATAGCTTAGCTCTTTCTTGTGGACACTCTCACCCAAACACTTTCTGTCAGGGAACCCAAGTTGCCACACAGGACTGTGGCTCAAGTGGCCTTCACTGTCTTTCCTGTCCTCTATTATGATCTCTTTGGTCTCACCTGCAGTCCTGAAGCAGCATGTGGAAGAAGGTACCCTTCCCACCCCACCTCAAGTCACTGGAGACACAACCTCTTGACATACGATATCTATCAATTCAGCTCTACAAATGGTACTAGAAGAAAAACAAATCTGAAGTAATTAAACACATTTAAAAAAAGGAATAAATAATCCAAGATTATCAAATCAAAAGAGGGGAAAAACCCACACCATAACAAAATAACAGCACTCAATGAACAGTGCTCAGTGATGACTCTCAGCACCAATGGTCTCAATTCCCCAAGAAGAAGCACAGACTAACAAAGTGGACTGGAAAACAGAACCCATCTTTCTGATGCATTCAGGAAACATACCCAACCATCATAGAGCAACATCACCATAGAGCGACATCACCTCAGGGTAAAAGGATGGAAAACGACATCCCAAGCAAATTGACCCAAGAACCAAGCACATAGTCATTTTAATATCTGAAAAAAATAGAATTCAAACCAAATTAATTAGAGGAGAAATGGAAGGATACTACATACTCATTAAATGAAATCCATCAAGATAATATTGCAATTCTAAACATCTATGCACCAACCCCATGAAAGAAGCACACAAAAAAGCTAAGCTCAAATGCTGACACTCAAACTGTGACAGTGGAATACTTCAGCACACTAGTCTCCCCAGCAGAGTTCATACAGACAAAAGTCAATCAGAGACAAGCTGGAGCTACATAACACCATAAAAATGGACCTAACAGATATTCACACAACATTTCAATTAAACACAAAAGAGTATCATAGAACTTTCTCCAAAACCAACCACATACTTTGACAGAAAGTAAGCCTCATCAGAAACAAGAAAATTGAAATAACACCCTGTTGAAACTGAACTCACTACTGAATGAAAAGTGAGCCAAGGCAGAAATCAAGAAGGAAATTTAAAACTTCCTAGGACACAATTAAAATGAAAATAATTAAACTATGGAACACAATAAAGGTGATTCTAAAAGGCAAGTTCATGGCACTAGGTGCCTATATTAAAAAATGGAGAGATCTCACATTAGCAACTTAATGCCACACCTGAATGCTCTAGAACAACAAGAAGAAATAGCACCCCAAAAGAGTAGATGGCTAGAAATAATCAAAGCTCAGGGCTGAAACCAATGAAATAGAAACAAACTACAGAACAAAAGTAAACAACAACAAAAAATACAAAGAACCAACAGTTGGTTCTTTTAGAAATATCAGAAAGACTGACAAAACCTTTGCCAAATTAAAGGATAGAGACAAATGAAATTAATAAAATTAAAGATAAAGGAGGGCATTACAAATGAAGTGAGGAAATCTGTATTCCATCAAACTGTAAAACTGAAAAGAAACAGATACATTTCTTGAGAACATGTCTTATCACAGTTAAATAAAGATCAGATAAGGAATTTACACAGAATCATAACCATCAGTGAAACAGAAGGAGAAATTAAACTTTTCCCAAACAAACAAAGACAGGTTCAGATGAATTCAGTGCAGAATACTAAAAGACAATCATGGAAAACTTAAAGTAATATTCCCCAAATTATTCCTCAAACTAGAAACTGAAGGGACATTTCATATTTCTTTTTATGAGACAACTATTACTCAATACCTAAATTACACAAATACCCATCCCCCAAAATTACATACCAATATCCCTTATGAACACCAATGCAAAAATTCTCAATAAAACACTTGCAAAACTGAATCCAAGAAAACATCAAAAAAATTGTCTGCCATGATCAAGTTGGATTCATCCCAAACATGGCTCAACATACATAAATTGATAAATTTAATCTATCACAAACAGACTTAAAGATAAACCCAAATGATCATCTCATTAGATTCAGAAAAGGCCTTTAAAAAAATCTATCATTCTTCATGATAAAAGCCCTGAATTAAAGGAATACAGAAGACATACCTCAACATAATAGAGAATCTATAGCAACACAGCCAACATCAATCTAAATGGGAAAAAAAAAACTCAAAGCATGTCTACTAAAATCAGGAACAAGATAAGGATGTATCTTAGCTAGAGCAATAAGACAAGCGAAGGAGAACAAGAGGATACAAACAGGAAAGGAAAAAGTCAGTTTCTTTATTTTCAGAATATACTGCTTTATATACATAAAAGACTCTGAAAGTTCCACCACGAAACTCTACAGCTTAGAACACTTTCAGAAAAGTAGCAACATACAAAACTAACACACAAAAATCAGTACCCTTTCTATATATATACAGATGACAGACTAAGAAATCAGAAAATGTACCTTTCACAATGGTGCTCCCAAAATTAACTAATTAATTTTTAGAGATTTGGAGATTTTTAAAAAAAAAATTTAAAAAATGGGACACTAAAGAAATTGAAGATGACATTAGAAGTTGGAATAATCTCCCATGTTCAACTATCAGTAGAATTAATATCATGAAAATGGCCATCCTGTTAAAGACTATCTATAGATTCAAAACAATGTCATCATAATTCCAGCACAATTCTTCATAGAAATCTAAATGCTAATTCTTAGCTTCATGTGTAACACAAATAATCCAGGATAGCTAAAACAATCTCGAATAATAAAAGAACTGCTGAAGGTATCACTTTCCCCAATTTCAAGTTGCACTACAGAGCTTCAGAAGTAAAAACAGCAAGAGCCTTTCATCAATGTAATCAAATTAATTCCCAGAAATAATTTACTAACCTATGGACATATGATTTTTTGATAAAGAAGCCAGAAATACACACTAGAAAATAAGAGAGCATCATTAACAAATGGTTACTAGTCAAATTGGATTCTTGCATGTAGAATGCAAATCTGGGGGGGGACAATTCTGTATTCTGTCAATTACGTTTTAAATAAATGCTGATTGGCCAGTAG